ACACACCCAAGGCCAACCAACAGAGGAGAACCTGCAACAGACCAAAAGGGAGTGAAAGTCTCCAGGTCCTCTAGTCCCACTGAGCCCTGACTCCTGCTCCTGTGGCGCCACAGATGTCCCCAAGAGAGAGACCACACTTGTGGAATCCAGGGTCTCAGTGTGCACACCAGGGGGTTGCTGAAAACTGGGTCCTTGTACCCAATGCCTATCCCTAACAAAGGCACCGTTTTGAGAAAAATGGAAAACAAGTTTTGTGGCTTTGCTCCTTAAGTGACAGTCGCCATCTTAAGAAAGAGTTTCGCTTTCCTGCCCAAGGGCCTTTCTGAGAAAGGTTCCCCCCTCACACCGACCCACCCCCCACCTCCTGCATTACAACCCGCCTGGCTCTCACCCCTGAGCCTGCCCCATGACATTCGTGGAAGCAAGCCTCTATTGCCTCTCTCCACCTATGGAGAGGTGGCCTTTGTTTGTCAGCTGTGACAAGTAAACTCTCCTGTGTATCGCTGCCTGGTCTCTGTCTTTCATTCCTCACTCACCCATCACCCGGTTCCTGACTTTTCTTTCATCTCTGGTCCTAAAGTCTGTGATTCTGCTTACCAACAAGAACTGGGGGCTATTAAAGACGGGACTCAAAGGCTACGTTCCACATGTTCTCTGTTGGCATGTCACTCACTTGTTAATTTGGGAGATAGTCATTTCTGAGATCTTCTGGTGCCATCTCCAAACTCTAGATTACTTCATTCCTATGGAGGTGTGGGCTCAGGCTCAGGTAACCCTGCCTAGGGTGGGGAGAAAGGTATTCCTGTTTCTCTTAGGATTAGTTAGTGGGAGAGATTAGGTAGGAGCAGGGAGAGAGGAACAGAAAGAAACATGACTTTTTTTTTTTTTTTTTTTTGGTGCTGAGTATGGACCCAGGGCTTTGTGCATGAGAGAAGCACTCTACCAACTCAGCTACATCCCCAGCCTGAAACATGTCCATTTTAAACATGAGTCCCAGTGCCAGAGCAACAGGGCTATATTCAAAGCACAAAGTGGACACTGTTACATTTCCCCACTGCCAAATTCTACATTCCATTTTTTTGGAAAAATGTTAGACAGCCGCATCTGTCTCGGGTAGATGGTGTCTCTTGATTGCATCCTGGGCACTAGCTGTGTGATCCCCAGAAAGGGGATCAGATGTTCCCACACAGAGCAATCAGATGTGTGGATTCAGGATCTTGGCATGCAAGCCAGGGGACTTACCAAGTGGCCAAGGGTGTCACGTGTTTCCTGAGTTCACTTTCCTTTTGCTCAAAGTGGAGCAAACTGTACACTCAGGGAGAGCAGGGGGAGTTCCCTGAAGCAAAAGGAGCTTTGGGGATGGCCCCTCAGTCCCTTGCTTTGCTCACAGGTACAGCTCCTCTGGCTCAACCCCAGGCAAACTCACCCATCTCCTAACTCTCCTGCAGTTGGCTCTCCACAAGCTCACCAGCACCTTGCATCCTCAGCAGGGAAGTGGGTTCCCTGGAGAGCCAGGCCTGCCCCAGGAAGCTGGAGGGGGGAGGGGAGGGGAGGGGAGGGGGAGGCTGCTCTCAACTCCCATCTGGGTTGCCAAACTTGTTAGTGAAGGCCCAGCCAGTTTTCCCTGATGCCAATCCAAAGACGAGGACACAGGTTTTTAGAAAAAGGAAATAGAGGCTTTATTGCTTTGCTAGCAAAGGAGAAATACAGGGAAATCCTGTCTCAGAGCTGTGATTTGTCCCCCAGCCACAGCAGTGGACTTTGAAAGAGGTGATTCAAAGCCTACATTTGGAAAAAGTGCTCTCTGTTACAGTTGTAATTCACTTGTTAATTGGGAGATAGTCATTTCTGGGATGTTCTGGTGCCATCCCCAACGTCTGGATTACTGCTTTCCTATAGGGATATGGGCTCAGGGACGGATAACTCTACCTAGGGTGGGGAAGAAAGGTGACCCTGTTTCCCCTGGGATTAGGGAAGGGAGAGATTAGGGAGGAGGAGCAAGAGAGGGAGAGAAAGAAACAGGTCCATTCTAAAAACCAGGAGCAGTGGCTGAGCAGCAAGGGCCAAGTCCAAGCCTAAAGTGGACCCTGTTACAGTAGCAAACTCAATGCACACACAGAGTAGTGAGAGAAACTTCTAGAACCTGTGTGAGCCATGGTGCTAGCTCAGCTGGGGACAAGCTCACTGGAGAGGTGGAGAAGCTCTGTGGGGGAGGAGGAGGGCTCTGCCCAGCTGCAGGCTCTGGGTGGCACTGAGTCACTGTCAGGGGAACAGAGGGAAGCACAAGAGACCAAGGCCAGGTAGAGCACAGCACAGGGGGCACCTGAGCCCAGGTCAGGGAGGGCAGTCCTGGCACAGCAGGTGCAGGTAAGGGGGGCTTTGGAGACACAGGTGGACAGTTTCCCATGACAGATGTCTTGCTGGAGGGCGAGGGGTGAGGGCACATGCAGGTCAGGGAGGGAAGTCAACAAAGCTCAGGCTCCTGACCCAGCCCAGGGGTCTCAGCAGCTGTGAGGCCTGAGGCTGGGCCCAGGGCCAGGGAAACTTCACATCCCTGCAGCTGTGATCGGGCTCAGCCTCAGGGCTGGGCAATCTGTGAGGAGAGGGGGACAGGACCCAGGCAGCAACATGGCCAGGCGAGCACGGCTGCAGCCCTCCTCAAGTGCAGGGCAGGCCTTTGGTGCACGCCCAGGTGCTGGGGGTCTCTTGAGGTCAGACAGGTGGCCCCACAGACCATTATGAAGGGACAGGAAGGTTTTGGATCCTAAGACCAGGACTTCCTGACATCGTCCTCTCAGTCCCAGCCGTAGGACAAGTACCTGAAGAGAGATCCCCCCTCAGAGGCCAAAGGCAGTTCTGTGGCACTTCTAGGGAGTGGGAGGGCAAGGTCAGGGTCCCAGCATAGGGTCAGAATGAAGGCTGCTGCCTAGGGCCCCAGTGTCCCTTCCCAGGGGGAGGACACCTAGCAACCCCACCCTGTGGGCAGAGGTGACTTCTGGCCTTTGCACCATGACAGGGCAGATGCCCCTTAGGACAGTCCCCATGGGGGCCGAGTGTTGGCAAATCCTGGGCACACTTGGGGCCTTCTCAGGGTGAGTGCAGAGCCAGGCTGCCCCAGGGAGGGCAGGCGACAGCCTCCCCTGCAGAGGCCGGGACACTGAATGGGACAGGAGGTCAGTGACACTCCTTGACTGGTGCATACAGCAGACCCGTGTTCATGGAAGAGAAAAGGAAAGAAGGCCATCTGAAGGGTCTCGGGGTTAAACTTGACCTGCCAACAAATGCAAGAAGCTCCCATTTGTGAGGGGACTTCCTGACTTCTGTCTTCCCCAAGAAAGGCAGGCACAGCTTTTTAAAAACTTGCATGTGACATGGTTTTCAGAACTTAGGAGGAAGGAGCCAAGTGAAGGTCCCCTGGCCTCCTTCATGTGGGCAGCTACTGAGGGCAGCAGCCAAGGCGTCGCAGCTCCTCGTTCTATCTGCCTGCCAGGGCCTGGGGCAGACCAGTCCTGGGAGACCCCTGATTACTCCCAGCCCACCCCACCCATGGGTGCCAGGAGACAGCCTGGCAAGGGGGCAGAGAGGAACACAGGGCAGAGGCTTGGCATGAAGAACGGTCCTCATGCTGAGCATGAGAGCTTTATTCATTAGACAGCAGACCCTGGACACGAGTGTTCAGCTGACGCGTTTGCCCAGAGCAGGGGGAGCCGTGATGAGCAGCCCCCTCCGCCAGCCACCATCCACAGGCAGGTGCCATCCCAGGCCGCAGAGAGCAGAGCTTCAGAATGTGCATTCTGGGGACAAAGCACAGGCGTTAGGGTGAGCGGTGCCATCTCCACCCACCCTGCCCAGCCTGGATGCCAAGGCAGGGTGGTCTCCAAGGCAGCGCCTCTCTGAAGCCTCCCTCCGGGTCTCCAGGGAAACACGGAGTGTCCCCACAGCCTGTGAGGACAGCTGCCTATCCCATGGAGGGTCACTATGGGAAATAACTGGACCCAGGTCATCAGGGCAATGGAGAAGTGAGGTGCGCCTTGGCAGGACCCCTGGCCAGCACTCAAAGAAGAGGCGGAGTCCCCAGAGGGCAGGCAGAGGAAGGTGGACAGCCAGCAGGGGCTTGGCCAGCTCCCTGGCGGGTCTCAAGCCTTCTCCGGCCCTCCTCCCCTGGCTGTGCTCAGGACGGGAGGCAAACACCATCCTTGGTCAGAGGCTGCAGCAGCTGGAGCTCAGCCTCCTCCCTGCCGCCCCAGAACAAAGCCAAGTCTGGCCCCTTGGCTCTGACTCCAGGAAGGTGCTTCTGGAAGGCAGGTCCTTCTGAGAAGGTGAGCTGGCCCCTGGGAGGCCAGATGGCTCTGAGCAGACAGGCACTCCCAAGACCTGGTGGGGTGGGGCCCAGATGGAGTCAGGATGGCAAACCACCTGTGCTCACGCCATCTGTCGTTGGCTCAGGCACAGGGCCCCTCCCAGAGCAAGAGGGGGCTGTGCTGCACCCCCACTGACCCCTGCTCCACTGAGGGAGGAGGGAGGAGAGGCACACCCAGTGGGCAGTCAGTAGCAGGTTGGGGTGCAGGGAGGCACCAGGACACCACACCAGCATGGCCACCAGCTGCTGTGAGCAAGTCACAGATGACAGGGACCCTGGGTGCTTGGTTTGCAGAAAATAGCTCAGCATTCCACACCTGCATATCTCCCCATTCACTGTGGGTCAGTTTAATCTGGTTCCTTCCACAGGATTCCTTAACCTAGAACATGTTTTAACAGCGTCCCTCTTATGTATAATATAGAAAGGGGACAAATGGGACCAGCCAGTGGCTACCAGCTGCCCTCAGCAGAGGGCCCCTGATAAGAGGCTCTACACACAGATAGTCACAGTGACAGTGCTGGTTGTCCTGCCCAAGCCCAGGCAGGTGGGCCTTCCTGGGGGTCTTCATGTCTCCACTAGGGCCCAGGAAGGATGGGGGCCTTGAGACACCAGGCACCTGTGGTCACATGCTGGGCCTTACCTTCCTCCTGCAGAGGCTTGAAGCACCAGGGCACCCCTCGTATGCTGGAGTCAAAGCAGCAGCCGCGGTTGGTGCAAGCCTCCTGGTCAATGTTAGGGTAGCCGCAGTTGACCCTCTCCTTGGCTGGGAAGACACACTGGCTTTCCACTGCCCAAACAACACCAGGTCAGTGCCAGACCCCCAGGGCTTGGGGCCAGGTGTTTGCCTCAGTTTGAAGTTCACATCCTCCCTTAGCCCACTCCTGAGCTCAGAGATGGCGCCTCCCTGCCCCTGGGAGCATGGGCTCTCCCCAGGAATGAAGGACCTGGGCTGTTGAAGGCCACACCCGGTGACCCAGTGTTGCCCTGGTGGCTCTCATTGGCATGCTCCCTTCACCTTGTCAGGAAGTCTGGGTACCTCCATCAGGCCCTGGGGGAATCCAGGTCCCCAGAGCCGAGACCAAGCCCCCTTTCTTGTTTGAGCAGCAACACCTGCCCCTTGTCTAGAAATGGCCGTGTGCAGGACATGCCCTGTCCTCGGGGAAGTCAGCCAGGTGCTGGTGCTGTAGCTGCCCCTCGGCACCCGCCACCCCACAGCGTCTGCTTGTCATGACATGGCTGCACCTTGGGCCCTGACTCTCTGGGTCCCGAATCCTGCAGGCCTGCCTCCATGAGCCTAAAGGTCCACCTGGTGCCATGACAACTAGACTCTTCCTTGAGGAAATGGAGCACGTGGGAAAGCCCCGGGCCAGCCCGCAGCCTCTACTCCAGTGCTTCTATGGTTGGTAAGAAAATCTGGTGAAGAAGGCACCGGGGTGGCAGTTGGGTGCCAGCTGCCCCCCATGGCAAGCCTGGGTGCAATCGAGTATTCAATCCTGACCCACAGGGAGGCTGCCTTAGAGATGCTGACTCTTGAGCTTCAGTTTCCTGAGTGTGACACAGGGACAATAAGACCCTCTATGTGGGGTGCTGCAAGAACAGGTCTGTATCTGACAAATGGTGATCACTAAGTTGACGTGGAGTAGAAGCATGAGGGTTTCTCAACTCTGGAGCCCACAGAAGGGCACCCCGCCTGCCAGTCTCTCCCTCTCTTGTGTCCCCACCCTGACATCGGGGACCAGAGTGGTACTCACACTGGCCAACGTCCTGCTCAGCCCAGCCAGAGGACCCCAGGGCCAGGACCAGCAGCAGCAGCCAAAGCGCTCTGGCCTCCATGACAGCGGGCGTCTTGAGGACCACACACAGGATGTGTCATTGCACAAGAACGGCCCATTTATACCCCTGTGTGTGCACAGGTTCTCTGGGTTGTTTGCTATAGGAGGGCTCTCCAGGGCCTAGCTCCACCCATCTTTCTTTCCCCTGTCCACAACTGCAAAGCACCAGATGCTCGCTGCCCTGAAGGGAGGGCCACTCGGGTGGACTCTGCTCTGGGGATGATGCTCCTCCATCCAGGAGGCAGGAGCCAGGTTGGGGCATCTCAGCTGCAGGAAGGGAGGAGGGCTCAGCGTGGGGCGGGAGGGCTCCCTCTACCAGCACTGGGTCCCTGACACTAAGGCTGCCAGCCTTAGCCACCAGGCCAGGAGCCATGCAGAAGGTCCCTACCCACCAACAGGCCCCTGAATCCGGAGCTTGAAAGCAGGCAGCAGCTGAGTCAGGTTCTTACATCCCTCCCAGGAGTCTAGAAAGCTGGATGTTGTTCTTTTTGCTTTTTTCCATCAAAACCAGTTTTACTCTACTACATATTAATAAATGTAGGAATATACTTATTCAGTGCATTTTAATAAAATTATACATAAGTTTTGTTTTTAAAATTAAATAATTTATAACACCCCTCTGTATAGAGACATTCAGTGCTAACATCTATAGGTCTCTGGATACAAGCACTTTTTCAGGGGTGGATTAGGGCTCTGAACTACTGAGCCACACCATCAGCCCTGTTTTTGGTATTTTTAAAATTAGAGACAGGGTCTCACTGAGTGACTTAGTGCCTCACTTTTGCTGAGGCTGACTTTGAACTCAAGATCCTCCTGCCTGAACTCAAGATCCTGAGCTACTGGGATTATAAGCATGTGCCACCGAGCCCAACCCAATGACATTCTTTTTATATAGTTATTACTAATTTTCGTTTTCTTCTTTTTTTTTAATTTTTAATTCTAATTTGTTATATAAGACAACAGAATGCATTACAATTCATATTACACATATAGAGCACAATTTTTCATATCTCTGCTTGTACACAAAGTCTATTCACACCATTGATGTCTTCATAAATGTACTTAGGATAAGGAAGTCCATCTCATTCCACCATCTTTTTTACACCTCTAGCCCCTTTCCTTCCCCTCCCTCCCTTTGCCCTATCTAGAGTTCGTCTAATCCTCCCATGCTCCCCCTCCCTACCCCACTATGAATCAGCCTCCTTATATCAGAGAAAACATTTGCCCTTTGGATTTTGCGGATTGGCTAACTTCACTTTGCATAATATTCTCCATCTCCATCCATTTACCTGCAAATGTCATGATTTTATTGACTTTTATTGCTGAATAATATTCCATTGTGTATATATACCACATTTTCTTTATCCATTCAGCTACTGATAGGCATGTAGGTTGGTTCCACAGTTTAGCTATTGTGAACTATGCTGCTATACACATTGATGTGGCTGTGTCCCTGTAGTATGCTGTTTTTAAGTCCTTTGTGTATAGATCAAGGAGTGGGATAAGTGGGTCAAATGGTGGTTCCATTCCAAGTTTGCCAAGGATTCTCCATACTGCTTTCCAGATTGTCTGCACCAATTTGCAGTCCCACCAGCAGTGTGTGAATGTGCCTTTTTCCCCACATCCTCGCCAACACTCATTGTTGTTTGCACTGTTAATAGCTGCCATTCTGACTAGATTAAGATGAAATCTTAAGAGTCGTTTTGATTCGCGTTTCTCCAATAGCTAGAGATGTTGAACATTTTTTCATGTTTGTTGGTTGATTGTATATCACCTAAGTGTCTGTTCCGTTCCTTGGCCCATTTATTGATTAGGTTATTTGTTATTTTGGTATTTAGCTTTTTGAGTTCTTTATATACCCTGGAGATTAGTGCTCTATCTGATGTGCAAGTGGTAAAAATTTCCTCCCAAGCTGTGGGCTCTCTCTTCACCTCACTGATTGTTTCTTTTGCTGAGAAGAAGCTTTTTAGTTTGAATCCATCCCATTTATTAATTCTTGATTTTAATTAATTCTTGTGCTATAAGAGTCTTATTAAGGAATGAGGGGCCTAAATCTGATATAATGGAGATGTGGGCCTACTTTTTCTTCTATTAGACGCAGGGTCTCTGGTTTAATTCCAGGTCGTTGATCCACTTTGAGTTGTGTATTGTGCATGGTGGGAATAGGGGTTCAATTTTTTTTTTTTTGCATATGGATTTCCAGTTCTGCCAGCACCATTTGTTGAAGAGGTTATCTTTTCTCCAATGTACATTTTTGGTTCCTTTGTCTAATATAAGATAACTGTATTTATGTGGGTTATTCTCTGTGTCCTCTATTCTGTACCATTGGTCTACCAGTCTATTTTGGTGCCAATACCATGCTGGTATTGTTAGTATTGCTCTCTAGTATAGTTTAAGTTCTGGTATAGTGATGTCACCGGCTTCACTCTTCTTGCTAAGGACTGCTTTAACTATTCTGGGTCTTTATTTTTCCAGATGAATTTCTTGACTGCTTTTTCTATTTCTATGAGGAATGTCACTGGGATTTTGATTGGAATTTCATTAAATCTGTATAATGCTTTGGTAGAATGGTCATTTTGACAATATTAATTCTGCCTATCCAAGAACAAGGAGAACTTTCCATCTTCTAAGTTCTTCTTTAATTTCTTTCTTTAGCTTTCTGCAATTTTTGCTGTGGAGGCCTTTTACATCTTTTGTTACGTTGATTCCCAAGTATTTTATTTTATTTTTTGAGGCTACTGTAAATGGGGTAGTTTTCCTCATTTCCTTTTCAGAGGATTTGTCATTGATGTACAGAAATGCCTTTTATTTATGGGTGTTCAATTTGTGTCCTGCTATTTTGCTGAATTCATGTACTAGTTCTAGAAGTTTTCTGGTGAAATTTTTTGGGTCTTCTAGGTATAGAATCATATCATCAGCAAATAGTGCTAATTTGAGTTCTTTTTTCTATCCGTATCCATTTAATTTCTTTAATCTATTCAATTGCTCTGGCCAGTGTTTCAAGAATTATATTAAATAGAAGTGATGAAAGGGGACATCCCTGTCTTGTTCCAGTTTTTAGAAGGAATGCTTTCAGTTTTTCTGCATTTAGAATGATGTTGTCCTGGGACTTAGCATAGATAGCTTTTTCAATGTTGAGATATGTTCCTGTTATCCCTAGATTTTCTAGTGTTTTGAACATGAAGGGTGTTGTATATTGTCAAATGCTTTTTATGCATCTATTGAGATGATCATATAGTTCTTCTCTTTAAGTCTATTGATGCGATGAATTACATTTACTGGTTTCCGTTTGTTGATCCAACCTTGCATCCCTGTTATGAACCCCACTTGATCGCGGTGCACTATCTTTTTGATGTTTTTGTATTCGATTTGCCAGAATTTTATTGAGTTTTTTGCATCTATGTTCACTAGAGATATTGTTTTGAAGTTTTCTTGATGCTGTGTTTTTGGCTGATTTTGGAGTCAGGTTTTGGAATCAGGTTTTGGAATCAGGTTTTGGATTCAGCCTTATAGAATGAGTTTGGAAATGCTCCCTCTTTTTCTATCTCCTGAAATAAATTGAACAGTATTTGTATTAGTTCTTCTTCAAAGGTCTTGTAGAACTCGACTGTGTATCCAACTGTCCTGGGCTTTGCTTGGTTGGTAGGCTTCTGAGGGCTTTTTTTATTTAATCACTTGAAATTGATCTGTTTAAATTGAGTATAACATCCTGTTCCATTTGTGCAAATCATATGACTCTAGAAATATGTCAATGCCTTCAATATATTTCATTTTTTTTGAAATACAAATTTTGAAAATAATTTCTAATTATATTCTGTATTTCTGTACTATCTGTTATGATATTTCCTTTTCCATCACAGAAATTTGAGCTTTCTCTCTCCTCTTTATTACCATGGCTAGAGATCTGTCAATTTTATTTGTTTTTTCAATTAACTATCTTTTTCTTTTGGCAATTTTTTCAATTGCTTCTTTTGTTTCAATTTCATTGATTTCAGCTCTGATTTTAATTATTTTCTATCTTCTGCTTTAGGTATTATTTGTTCTTATTTCTCTAAGGCTTTGAGATATAATGTTAAGTCATTTATTTGTTGACTTTTTCTTCTTTTAAGAAATGAACTCCATGCAATGAACTTTCCTCTTAATACGGGCTTCATAGTAACCCACAGATTTTGATACGTTGTTCCTGTGTTCTCATTTACCTCTAAGAAATTTTAATCTCCTTGATGTCTTTTGCAACCCATTGTTCACTCAGTAGCATATTATTTATTCCAGGTGTTGGAGTACTTTATTTTTCACTTTATCATTGATTTCTAATTTCATTCCATTATGATCTGAAGAATGCAGGGTAGTATCTCTACTTTTTTTGTGTTTGCTAAGAGTTGCTTTGTGGCATAATATATGGTCTATTTTAGAGAAGGATCCATGTGCTGCTGAGCAGAAATGTATTCATTCATTGAAAGATGAAATAGTCAATAGATGTTGGTGAAGTATAAGTTATTGATTGTATTATTGAGTTCTATAGTTTCTTTGTTCAGCTTTTGTTTGTATGATCTATCCAATGATGAAAGAGTTGTGTAAAAGTCACCCAGAATTATTGTGTTGTGGTCCATTGACTCTTGAATTTGAGAAGAGTTTTTTGATGAATGTAGATGCCCCACTTGGGGGAGGGCATACATATTTATAATTGTTATGTTTTGTTGATGAATAGTTTCCTTGAGCAGTATGAAATGTCCTTTTGCTTAACTTTGGCTTGAAGTCTACTTTATTATATATGAGGATGAAACCCCTGCTTGCTTCCACAGTGCATGTGAATGTATGATATTTTTGTTTATTTTTGGTATTTAACTTGATTTGGTTTCTCCTTTGATTGGTTTTTCCCTTAGTGTAATACCTCCCTCTGTTGATTTTCATTCTTGTTTTTCATTTTGTCTTCATGGAATATTTTGCCAAGGATGTTCTGTAATGCCAGGTTTCTAGCTGTAAATTCTTTTAATTTTTTTTTATCATGAAATCTAAGGT